CCCGGCGGCGAAGGCCCCCGTTCGAGGCCCGCGCCCGCCCGCGGCGGGGCAGGGGCAAGAGCCCGCCGGTACCCAGGAGGCTCCGGGGCTGACTCCGTAAAAACTCGGAAGCCAGGCAGGTTTCTACATTAAAAGAGTTTATTTGTTAATACAAAAACCCCAAAACAATACTCATGAATACGCATAAAGTCTCGTTCCAGAGTCGTAGCCGAGCTATTCGCTAGTTACACTATAGTCTGCAGCTATCGGAGCTTCATGCTGTTCTAGCAAGGTAACACCCAGTGTGCAAAACACGATCGGTTCCTCCCCGCGGTGGAGCTGGGAGCAGGACGCACGCGTGCCAGGCACCGATGTCGGCAGCGGCACATGCCCCGGGCTGTGCGGTAGCCTGCACCCCACCCTTCGGTTTTCATTTAACAGGGAGCCTGTGTTTCCTAACAGAGCATTAGTAACCTTTACGACTAATAGTTTAGTTTCGTCTCAACAGTAGACAAGAGGGGTGCTCTGCACCTCGAAACCAGGCCTTAGACACATCTCCGTAAAGTCCAGCATTTTTCATCCCGAGCAATCACCTTGTTACTGGTCAGATTTGTTTCAGCAAAGCTGGCACCCCTCCAGCAAACACAATTCTTCCTTAAAGATACGTCATGGAGCATTCAGAATTTTGCTAGGAAGAAGGACAGCAGGAAAGCAGAAGGGCAAAGGAGCTACATCAATGCAAGTACCAGCAGGACCACGCAAAGGTCCTTCAAACCATCTCCCCTTGCGCACTGTCACTCTCACATCCTATTTGGCCTCTTTCTAGGGGAAGCTCAAGTCACGGTATTTCTTGCCAAAAAACATTCTGCACAGAGAGTGTGCTGTGCAACTACGCTGTTCCTGTGCCCACCATGCACAGATGGGGACAGGACCATCTCCAGGGTTGGTCCCAAACGCCAGCTCCTGTGCAGCAGCACTGTGCCCTGCCAGCTCAGGCTGCACATGAGCTGATGCTGCAGGAGGGAGAGCGCAGAGCACTAGTCCCCAAAAGCCACTTATCCCCCAATATTTCCCTTCTCACCAGCTACACTCCTGGAAAAAGTACCGATGCCTGCAAATCAAAGCAGTTTCTAACCAACACAGTGATGATCTCCAACAGGAACTGTACAAGACACCAGCCCATCTACTTTTTGGACCTTGCAGCACAAAGAAATCCTTGGATTTCTCAGTTCAAGATGAGGAACAGTATCAGCAGTACTAGGTCAGTCTCATTTTTCACAGTCTTGTTTAAACCCACCATCCGACTGAACTAAAGCAAGCACCACTAAGGCACACAGCAGTCAACTCCCACCAGAAAGCACACGAACCCCACCAGCACCTCTCCACAAGCCCTGGCTAACCAGACCTGAACATGCTCCATTTACTGCTGACACCCTAAAACACACCTAGATGCTTCCCGATGTTTGGTATTCACTTACCTCCACGAGTGGATGACTGGTCTTGAGCCTTGCTGCCAATGCATGGGGCAAAAAAAGACAGTCCTACCTCTTCCCAGGGCTGGGACCAGTCGCTCTGAGGACACTCACTTGATCCTTCCTGTACAGCTACCAGGATACACCACTGCAGCCATCTGCTTCCAGTTGGGTCTCCTCAAGAGACCACACTGTTTAGTTTAACTTGTTGGCCCTTTTCAGTGAAAGCTAAGAGACACAAATGCCTCAAAACAAAATTCCTAACAGACTTAAAAAAAAAAAGTCTAGGTAGAAAACAGAACCATAGCATTCCCACTGAAGGGAAGGCCATGGCATCAAGTTTAATTATATTCTTATACACCAGAGAATCCACAGGGAAGAAAGATACCGCGTCACAACTGCATGGCAACTTTTTATAAGAACTTATACCTTATTAGACACACACACACATGCATGCACACACACAAAAATCAGGCTTCAAATTCTGCTTGTCTTAGAGCTATTCATACAAAACCATTGAGAACTCAAGGATGGTTCAGATTAGTCTGCAGCAAATGATGCGGATTTCCCCCTAGTTCTGCCCATTCTCAGGCACAATGTGAGGGGTTGGGGTGAGAGAAGGGAACAAGGTCTGCTTTAGAATTCAGGGTTATTTTATCATTTTACACACACACACACTAAACAAATTGTGCCATCTTGTCTGTTAAAAAGCTAATTTATTATCCCCTCCTGGTAAAAAAGTGAAAAGCTATACTCTGTTAGACCAGTAAGATACAGAATTACTCCAGCTCTTTGGAGGTTTTTAGATACAACTTCGAAGCATATTATTCCACAAAGGAACAGCAAGTACCTTTCTTAAGAAAGGAAACTCTATAATGGGTCAGCCTTTTCTTTTAAGCAGAAGAAGATGTATCCATTACAGGACTCCCTTTCTGTCCAGATGACTCCTGTGAAATACCCTAACATCCTCCAGGTGGCATATGCAGAAAGTTTCCAAAGGAGAAATATGTCTTTAAAAAGTAACTTCAGGAAACAAGTGCAAGTTCCTTTTAAATCTGTTTTATAAGAAGGATACCAATGTACATTTTAATTGTTTTATTTTCATTTTCCCCCAAGGGGGAACCAAAGGCAGAGAGGTGTTGTGAGATACATCACACTGTTCTTACGGGTAAATCAATTTGCAAATGTTATTTTACCACTCTATAAAAATACACACAGGAGTGTGAAGGAAGCAAAGTAGTTCAGAGTGGCGGTCATGGAGCAAATATGTTACATACAATCAGATTTTTTCCCCTAAAAATTGTGGCTCCTTGTGTTCCATAAAACCGAAGTCTTTAGTAGCCACATGCCACAGGAACAGAAATTTAAGTGGTAGCTTCCTTTGAGCATGTGCACACAAAAGCATTAGTAAAGAACTGCTCCTATGGGACTGGAAAGCAGATGTGAGCGACAAAGCCCCATCCACAACAGGAAAGAAGATATGCATTCAGTTTTATTGTCTCAGCTTCCCATCCAAACTCCTGTAAACAGGTTCCATACCATTCAGGCATCTCTGATAAAAGAGTCTATAGTTCTATAAAAAGAAGTCACGCTGTAAGATCAAGATATTTACCCTGTATGTGTTATGCGAGCGCGAAGAGGAACAACCTTCCAATTTCTCAAGATACATCCAAGCAATCTGTAAGTGACCAAATTCCTTTCTCTGTCCAACTCTCCTGTGGGAAACTCAGTTAAGTGCCTCTTCACAGGTAGAGACAGTTTGATTTTAAAAATATTAAGGACACATTGTTTTATCTTTAAGAACTTCCTGGAAAGTTACTGTGGAAAATGAAAGTGCTCCCATGGTGAGACCAATGTGCAAAGCTCTACAGACTTCTGTCCTTGCTGCTTTCTTAGTATTCTTTCCCTTAGCAGATTCATGTTAAGATGAGGCTCAATACATCGCAACGAGGCCATCATCCACCTGTAACAAGCAGGTATACACTGGAAAATGTTTTATGTTTAATCATAAAACGTGGAATAAGCAAAAAAAAAAAAATTGTTCAGATATGATCGGTATGGTCTTTCAAGTGGGTTTATATACCAATAGCCTGTAACACTCGCTTTTCATTCTCATTGAGATGGTCTGAAAACATTGCATAGCAGGGCTGCTGTGCAAACTGACAGAGGAAGTCAGTGAGATAGGCCTGAAAGGAAGACAGAAAGACCCAGTTAGCACCATGTCACTTTAGAAATTCTGTTTCTTTCATTTATCAAAAGATAAACCTCAACATGCACCCAGTAAGACAAAGGGATTGCAGGGAACAGACAAGCAATGCAGAAGGAAGGGTGGCAGCAGACAGGAAGGGCTAATAAATGGCTGCCAGGTGGTGGTAAAAAGCAGGAGCAGAGTATCATACAGGGACTGACTGGATGGGAGCATTGCCCAGTTAGAGTATGAAATTCTGTCATGTTCAGTCTCCAATCTACTTCTGACTTCAGCAAATAGCTGTGAAGCTCATGGGTAGAAAAGTCTCATCTCCCTCTGTTCAAAAAGTTTTGTTCATTCACATTTCGAAGTTATAGATACTGATGCAATAAGGAAAAATAGCTCCAGGCATTCTTGGGATACTCAGCACTTTCCAAAGTAATTACAGTTAACTGAGTACCTTCGGGACAATGATCAATAACTGGTGTTTCAAGTGGTTTACAGTTTTGTTTAAGTACAACATTAAAAAAAAGTTTGTAAAGAACGGTAGGAATCTGTTTAAAAAAACTCATTCTAGAGCATCACCTGGAGATCTATTTGGTAAAGAGGGTCCTTTAATGCATCTGGATCATCCTCTTCATCATCTTCATAGTAATCCTCATCTGTCAGAGGCAAATCAGCATGTTTTAACACCAAACAAAGCAAAATATCTCAGGAAGTTCTCTATTAGACTACTGTTGAAATCCAAGGATCCAAAAGTAAATAGATTCAGCACTGCTGGGTAAAAAAAAAAAATTGTATCCAGAATATTCGCTCCTTAAGTTCACATGATTAGAAAACACTAAACCCCAGAACAAAACGAGTCATAGTGGGAATCTCAAGGAACACACAGGTGAGACAAGAATACACAGGATACTAGACAAGCAGGTTTGTTAGTTACGTGCACTATTATCTTAGGCCTTAATCTTGTGTCAGGGTGACACATTTCTAATTCTGTGCTAATTTAAGTAGTCTCCCTTATTGTATCTGCCTGTGAGGTTCTCCCTTCTAAGACTATATGCAAACAGGAGAGCAGAGGAAAGGAGATGATATACCTGCTCCATCTCCTTTATGCAGCAATTATTTCTCAAGGTCACTCCACAAACAAGCTTATCCACTTCTACAACACTGTCATTCCAAGGTCACGTCTACATCTTTGTGCATCAATTTTCTCTTTAGAAGAAATACCTGCATGAACCTCACAGCAATGTGAAGCCTATGCAGCATTTGAATTCTCAGGTGAAAAATGCAGTTATTTAATCATTGTGTTATTCAAAGACATGTCCCTCTCTTACAGAAAAAGGTCCTTATTCAAAATCCCAGTATAGTATATTTCCTTCCTCTTGCCTGCAGCCTCTGTTGAGCTGCTGTCACAGAAAGAAAACTTGACTAGGATGTCATCTACTCTATTTTTGCTTTCAGTAAGCACTTTAAAGCTGTTACTTACCATACTTGTTTGTGGAAAGAATATCTGATAAGAACTGTCCTGCTAAGCCTTCATCTTCATCCTCATCCTCTTCCTGATCCTCCCACATATCATTTGAATCATCTGTTTAGAAAAAAAAAATTCTAGAAATAATCAAAATCCAAGAGGTCCAGTCTGTTGATCACTCTACAGGGCACTGTAATTTTTAGGCAAATATCCCTGCTTCTGTAGGTGGATGAAGGGAAACACCTTCACTACTTCAGCAACCTTTTCTATCCTTTTGGAATGAGCGACTCAAGAACTGGAGCTAAGCAAAAAGCAGCAGCAAGAATGCTTGAAGAAGGAAGGAAGAAAGGCAAACCAGATATACCAGGAAAGGGTAATTTTATTGGCATATGGTCAGATCCCATCTTCCAAACTGGCCCAAAATAATTTTCAGGTATAAGAATACACAACACTCACTGATCTTATCCTTTGGATTACTATGTAAGCCTTTGTAATTACAGGTATACTGTTTACTATTGCGAGTTTCTTATTACTATAAATGCTTTTGAAGAGATTACAAAGTAGATTTAAGCCATGCAAGAGAAAAAGCAAACCCAGTATTTTACCTTGGCTCCAATCTGCAGTTGTCTGTCTAGATGCATTTGCTTCCATCGCATTAGAGAGTTCATTTATTATTAATTTTAAGATTTTTACTAACAAAGGAATGTTTGTCCAGCGTTCAGGATCTATAAGAGAAGAATAATATATATTCACATTGCTTTTAATAAAAAGTTGTTAAAAACAGGCCTTTTTTTGTTTTGTTTTTTTGTTGTTGTTATTTGGGTTTGGGGGGAGGAGTTGGTGGCGTTCTGTTTTGTTTGGGGGTTTTTTTTGTTTTTTTTTTTTTTTTTAATTTTATCATACTTTTGAAATGCTGACATAGAAGCAAAATTTCCAGGTTGAGAGGAAAAAGGAACTGACATAAAAACCCCAAACATTCTTTCTGTATACCTTCACAGCTAGGTTTCAAAGATCTTAACTGCAGTATCAACTCTTGCATATTTTGAATGAAGAAAAGGCATGGTTAAAATCTTCACAGCTGAATGGATTTGTGAGTCTACCCAATGAAATCATAGTTACAGATGACTTCATTAAGCATTCTTCTCTGAAGTATATTTACACATCTAGCAGTGCTTTCAAGTAAATGAGTGGTGCAGCACTCCCACGCGTGGCTCTACCCTTTCTGAGACACTGTAAGCTCCAACTTTTCCTCACCAGTGTTCCTGCAGGGCTTAATTATTCCACAGGGATAGCTAGACAGTGTATTTGTCCTTAATTACAAAAGGAAAGAGCCTATCAAATAAAGAAACTGGGAGCACTAGTTTTGGCTCTTATTGATATCAGTATTAATC